GAGTGAGTGTGAGAGTGAGAGTGAGAGCGAGTTAGTGAGTGTGAGTGTGAGTGAGAGCGAGAGGTGAGCATCTGAGAGCACAAAGTGCTGTGCCTGCCACGAAACCTGCGCGTCGAGGTTGCGCCTGCCACGAAATCTGCAAACGAGCCACATGTCCAAACGTCACGATTCACTGCACCTGTCACGAAATCAGAGCGCCTCGACGATCACATTTCGAAGTACAGCCGCTCCGATCCCTTGCACCTATAACGAAAAGTCGACTTTGGACCACCAAAACACGAGGTTTCTCTTGCACCTGCCACGAAAAGTGACCACCATGTGACCATGTGCGAAAAAGCGCACCACCACAACGAGAGCGCAGTCGCGACAAGCGCACGCTCCAGCCACCCAGATTTCGCGAGCCTGCCCAGTCGACATGCACGTCGACGATTTCGAGAGGCATGAATGTACTGTAAATAGCAACGAATTAGCTGTTCACGGCCGCGCGCCCCAGCGATCTAAGCACAGCTGCTTAACTATTACCGTAAGAACCCTTGAGTCTTAAGTGTGTCCACACTGTTTGGGGAAAAAATGAAAAGCCACATGGATCTTTAAGAAGCATCGCTACTTCTTGGATGTAGCCAATAAAAATAATGAGTTCCCTCCCGCGAAACTCACCGCTCCGGAGAACGTTCGCTCCATCCGCTCAAGTGAGGCGGTCCACACCGTGGTCCACCCAGGTCGTGGATGGACCGGGTGGGAAAAACAAGTGCCTTTAAAACGGCCCACGACCGGCGACCCCTGTACAGTCTTGGGCCCGGAGAGGGTCTGAGTGAGCCTTTTCGGCGGATACGAGAGGAGACAATGGGAGAGTGGCTGCTTTGGAGCATGTTGTCAAACACATTTGTAAATAAGACACCTGTCTTTTATAGATACATATACACATATATTATATATATATATATATAGAGTTCCTTCATCCACATATGTGGTCAGTAGGATGCCAGGGATCACTTTCTTCAACGGCTCAAACCGTACACTGCCAATGTCGTCGAGTCTAAGCGGTTTGTGCAGGGCATGCAAATGGCATATATGGGGTACAAGTTGGAGGTACGAGGAAATGAAGTGGTATATGGTTGCACTCTCCTGGAAGATACAAGTAGAAATAGAACAAACAGTGTACTGTAGATTACTGTAGGTGGTATTTTCAAAGTAAACGGTAGTAGTGCAGTTCAGTTCCCATATAATTTAAGGAGATATTGTGAGTGATATATATATATATACGTATACTGTATACTGCAATATAGGGAAATGGTACACACACTATCACACACTGACACCATACTATATGAAGTGCTTTCAGACTAGACATCGGCAGTTTGTTTTGAGATTTGGGATGCTGCCTCTCCTGCTGCCTCTCCTCTTTCACTGGCGGACTCAAAGCATGAAGGTGGGGAGGACCTCTCCGCTCTTCTCTTCGTCACCGGCCACCGAGCTCGCCCCCAGCGCTGCAGGGGGAATCGCTTGGACCCGAGATTGTCGCTCGACACGAGCTTTCCTTGGGCGCTCTCAGGGCGGGCGGACTAGTGGTGATGTGGTTCTGTTTGTTGTGCGTTGGTGTTGGTAATTGTTACTTCATGAAAAAGGATACAGTAAATATCCCCACCAATGCCAAAGCGTTCCCCCCAAAACAGCTTCTGACAAGAGTAATTAATTTGGATCCTTATGGTACAGTATGGTATAGTATGGTACAGTATTATACAATCATTGCCCTTCCTCCAACATTCATCGAAGTGGACACCGCCACTCGTCTCATTCCAGTGGGGACCCCTTCCAGTGGGGACCCCTTCCAGTTCCGGTCGGTGTGTGTGTAATGTAAAATGTCACAAGTCGCCTGAATTAGGATGAAACCTGACTCGCACTCCCTAAACAAACCAGGGGTCTTTTGGCCAAATCATGCCGGTAACTCCCTCCGTATACTATTCAGTACCAGTACTATGACTGGGTAGGGGGGGCAACATCCAGCTATCACCTAGGATTGCAACTGATGAGGAACTGAAACAATGTGATTGCTCATTAGATCTCATAGGTTTAAAATTCCTTGGAGTCTTAAGATGTATAAAGTCACTTGATAACTTATATTCGAGGCAGCGCATTGATGAAAGACCCCCAGCAAGGAGAAGACGAAGAGGGGTAGCCCACCTCTGAATTGGTATGATGGACCGTAGTTCTAGTCACCGGTTACCAGGGAAAGGTGGAAGGAGCAATAACGCCAGCGGCAGGCAACAAGCCAAATCCAGCTGCATCATCCATAAGCCAAAGAACACAAACTCACCAGAGCTTGGCAGAAGAGGGTGGTATTGATTCCAAAAAAGACCACCTCTCATCATGTTGTGTAACTAGTTGGCACGAACCCACCCACAAACAAACGCCACAACAACAACAACAACAACAACAACAACAACAACAACAACAACCTGGTGTTCGCCGCAGAATCTCCCTCTTCGCCACAGCGAACCGACCGCTCCTTCGACTCGACCGCCGTCGAATCGTCGAACGGCCGTTGGGCCGGTCCGGATCGGCCGGGGGTCGCGCGGGCAGAGATGGCGCCGATTTCCTGCAGCAGCCGTTGGCCGTCCATCCAGCAAGCCAGAAGGCCTTTCTCGCATGTTCGCAGGCCCGGGGGGCCCGGGGTGTTGTCCAACTGCATGGTGGGCGTAGCGGTTGGAGGTTGGGAGAAAGAGTGGGTGATCATGGGGGAGAATCTCACTTAGAGCTGGTGGGAAAGCCATGGAAAGCCAAGGGCCTTAAAGGTGTGACCAGGGTGATGAACCTACTCAAGCAGGAAGCACTTGTGATCTCGCATTAACTTGTAAGGTTCATTGAATTGTGAAGACTTGGAGAACCAATCTTCAGGTACTGACATGAACACTGAGCCATGACTGATCCTGAAGGCCCCTGAATGGGACGGATAAGGGAAATGGATGGAAATGGATCGTGTTCATAAACTTTCCACAAGGGTACCCCCTGATGTACTACATAGATCACAAACATGTATACAAACAAGCTAGACTAAAACTTGTGTGATGTCCTTGATCCATATTCAGCTTCCGACAAGAACGCTTCTATCTGTCGCTTCACCTCTTTGGTATCACCAGTGACAACTGGCTTAGACCATCGCAGAGTCCAAGCTGTGACTGTCACTGGCTGATCTCACCTGTTCAGTGACTGGTAAACACAAAGGCCGAGTGGCAGATGACGACATGTGTTCTTTCCCTGATATCCGACCAGCGGAAAGAAAGAGGTATTAAGTTGCATTCTGTAAGCTTCTACAGCTCTAAGTCCTTGATCTACGCACCGGTCACCATGACGAAGAACTCCCCGCGAATCCCGCGACGGATCGATGCGAATCCGGACGAATCCTTCGCCGGCCTCCATTGCCCAAAAGGATGAGGTGCAAGTGTTCATTGAACTTTTGCACCTGGCATGCTGAGGCAATCAATTTTGCGCATGTTCAGGACAAACAAACAAACCATTGCTTAACATTTGCTAACTAACCATAACATAACTAACCAAATTAGTTATACTACCTAATGTTCAAATACAAACCATAACTAACCATAACTAGCCTAGTATGAGACCAGGGTACTGGATCGAAACCTGTTGCTTCGA